GTGCAGCCACTCAGGGCCGCGGCCGCCGTCCTTCTTCTTCTTCTTCGGTGCTGCGGTGCTCGTCGTACTCGACTCCTCAGTAGGGGCGGCCTGTCCCTCTCCTGTTGATGCTTCTTGTTGTTGTTCAGCTGGTGTTGATGGGGCAACAGTAGTGGTGTCAGTGAGAGGAAGAGTGGCAGAGGCACTCATGGACTCACTCATACTGAGGGATGGTGTGGTAGTAGTGAATTGACCGTTATTCCACTTTTCGTTGCCTTCTTTCTTCCCTTGTCCCTGGGCCTCTGTAGCGTATCCACCCACACGTGGTACCGGTAGTGGCATCCTCTCTGACGCTGCTGCACATGTACAGATGCAGGAGAGTATCAGTAGCAAGGTTAATAATAGAAGAGTTGTGCGCATAGTGATTGTGTAGCTGTGTTCTTTCATTTATGATGCGTCATGTTATGAAAGAGAAGAAACAGAGAGCAACAATTTATTATTAATAATATTAGTTGCTAGAATTGCAAACATAAACAGGAAGGTTTATTATTAAAATTCAAATCACGTATCCACTTATAAGTATTAATCAAGAACAAATGTGATCATTATTGTCAACTTGTTTTTTTATCTGATGCTAACACTACTTCGTACAGTGTAGCAAAGAATCAAATCCAAATAGTTACGTTAAGTCTTTATCGTGTGAGCAGCTTAGACACTAAAAGAAAGGTATTTTCCGTTATGAAAGAGTAGATGAAGATAGAACAATAATAATAACGATACCTATTAGTGTCATCTATAAACACATCATTATCATTTTTTCACTGCATTATGTGGAAATCTGGTTTTGAGATTATTGATGGGGCAGCATTACTGCAGTTAGTGCCATACAGTGATGAAAATCAAGTGGTTTCACTAATTAACTACATTACTACGGACTGGGGGCATAACTCATGTAGATACACAGAGTCCTGCTCATTAAGAGCTTAGTCGTAAGAAAGTAATTGCAGCTCTATTAACTTTCATTTCTTCTTCCTTTTCCATTTCTTTTATCCACTCCGTATCCATGTAAAGCGTTGCAGTATCAGTG